TTACCTTGGTATAAATTACTCAGTTCAAGTAGCTAATACAGTTTAAAATTGTTTATTCATCATGCTCCTTTCAGAACTTGAAAAAATCATCATGCAAAGGTTCTTCATTAATATAAAGCAGAAGAAAATCAAAACAATACTTAATATTTTACTGCTATTTATTTGTAGTTACATTGCATTAGAAGACTTTTCACTTACCAGTCTGCTATACATCCTGTTATTAAGTGGCCAAAGATTAATCCTACCAGTAGGGAGAATTTAGCAATGTGGACTTTCCAGGCCGAATCACAAACAAGATCCCACTGGAAAAAAAAAAAAAAAAAGACAAATAGTTATTCTCAGATGTGTTTAAACATACTAATGTTGGTGTAGAGCTTCCAAATTTCAGTCCTACCATGAGTGCACAGAAATGGCAGAGGAAAGCCTTCTCTCTCAAGTCAAAACCTGGATACCAAGAAGCAACCTAAAGACTTGTTTATTTCAGTGAGTTTTATCAGGCACTTGATTAAAAAATTACAACATCCAACACTTAAATCTCCCCCTCTCCAGGCCACACGATCTTAGACAATAGCAGTACTGATGTAGCCAAGCATCTCACCATAGTAGCCCCAGACCTCTGCTGTCAGAATCCCAAGAAGCCCACCAGCAATAAGCCCCACAATCGAAGAACCAGTTCTCCTACTGACCTCAGGGATGCTTGGAAACATGGACCAAAGCAGCAGTTTTGCCACAGAGCCCCGACAGCCACTAGATCCAGGCTCCCACAGACAAAAGGTCAAGACACTTTTGCTTTCAAAAAAGCATCCCAGTTCCCCAAGTAATGGAAGAGGATGGAGACTGACTACTAGCAAAGCCCACTGGGCCAAGTCTGAAAAGCCAAGTCCTAGCTTGGAGCCAGGAAGGACAGCCCAAGAGCCCAGGGCAGCCACACAACTCCGTGGGACAGCAGCTCCCACAGCAACATTTCACAGCTCAGAGATCAGCCCAGGGCTGAATCTCCACACTAAAGCTATCCCAAATACTAATATTACCCTTTCTGTCTAAAGGAAGAGAAAATGGACCATTTCAGGCACCTTGTCATTAGGACACTGCCTTATTCCCATGAGAAAGACGCAAGGTTTCCCTAAACTCCAAGACATTTTCCTCTGAGGCATTAGACTGAGCCTCTGGAGAGCCAGGCTGCATTCCTGGCTTTAGACCAACATCCTCATTGCCCTTAAATGTGTAACTCAATCTCTTTAATGTGTCAAGTGTGGAAAGCACTATTATGGCCTTGAATGAATGTAGAAAGATATGTTTGTTCATGGTTTGTGAAATGTTCAGATATTGATGGCAAAGGGAGCCACGCAGATTTCATGAAAAATAAGTACAGCTAACCTTGGAATGTCGGATACTCCAGAATGAAACTTCACAGAATATATGGCTGTTCATGTGTAATGTAATAGCAGCAGCCTTCCTGACACCAGGAACTGAAGCTTCATGGCCAAAAAATGCAAAGTACACAACTTATTTTTAAAAGTCAGATGTAACTTCAAAAGAAAGAGTTAAAATAGGTGTGCTGGACTTTTAAGCCTTACCATGACATACAGTTCTTCCACAAATAAGGCAGCTCTAACTCAGCCCTCTGGTTCAACATCACAGGAGGTGTGCCCCCTACAATATACCATCTAACCAAGAAGTACAGGACTTCTGAGGCCAAAAGAAATGGCCCAGCTTTCAGGCTCAGGGTTTTTCTTTTAGTTAAATGTATTTTTTAGTTCCTTGCTGCATTGATTTGTAGATGTTGGGACATGTCTGACCCTTCAGCCTACAAACTGAAGGCACTGAGGAAGCAAACGCAAGTAGTATGGGAAAAATCTTTTCCACAGAAAAGCTATTAATTATTAGCAGCAAACTGCTCAGCAAGGCAGGGAGAATTGCTCTCCAAAGATGTTGACTTCTTAGAAATATACAGCAAGTGGGGAAATGCAATTCCTAATGCTTGCAATTATATTACCAATCTCCAGTTAGCAAACGAAAATATCTACCCAGGCAAGCCACAGACAAAGCAAAACTCAGAAGGTATATCTGAGCTCCAGGCAGATTTTCAAATACTCTGAGTTTATTTTCACATTCCAGAAGGTGCACATGCTATTTAAAAATGATAAATTATTTGAAGAGCACAAATTACATTTATTAAAAATAGTCATATTTATACATGAACACTAAGGCAATATCTACAAGTTGTTAGTTTTTAATTTTATTGCTGTCAGAGGAACAGTGATGTCACGCAAGTGCCAAAAGAAAAAGGAGATATCCTGGTGCCTTTTAATTCTCACTATTGCTGCTCAAAAAGAGCCAGCCCTTGCACAAGCCCCAGGCAGGGAACATGCAGTACCAGATTACACGTAGGTAAAGGTTCAGAGTTGGAAGAGCCAAAATCGCATGACAGGCTGTTGTGAAATTTCAGGTCAGGAGAAGAGATGCCAAACCACTTTGCTGCTCTGGGACAAAAAGCAAGAGTTTAAAAGCAGAAGAAAAGTCAATTTATCAGCATGTCCTTCAGTGGTGCCTAAAATGCACCTCCTCCTTTTGCTAACTTATCTGTGAGCTATTGTTTGTTCGTCTGTTTTTAAGGCTATTGCCCAACTCCCCAGCTGCTCTGAAAATCAAAACGTATTTCCTTGCAAACTCTGCATCTGGCCCTTTCCTGTCCTGCATTAAGCACTCGCTTTGCAGGCTAGCATCACCCAAGAGCTGATTCCCTGAGCCCACAAGGGCAGCCTAGCACAGACACAGGCAGTCCCTGACCTTCCCTCATCTCTCATTCTCCAAAACCCTCAGAATTCATAAACAGGGAAATGGTAAAATATTTCAACAGTTACCTTAGCATAAGCTTTCAGAAAATCTGCCACAACCCCAAATTACTCACTTAGTGCTCTAAGAGCACAAGTGTACCCTGGTTTCTCCTCTGGCAGCTATCACAAATCAGAGAGAGGACCCTGCAAAGCATTAATCCAAAAATTTGGCAGGACAGTGGTGGGTGCCACCAGTAAATGTGACTCACAGAGAAACAGAAGAATAAGGAGAGGGCACAGAAGAAAAATGGATGCTGCAGTCAGAAGCAGACTCAGGTAAAGATGACATTAATAGGACAACATACATATTTTATAGCTGGTACCTTGTTCCTACCCATCTTAACACAGCAGCAGGGCAAACCAGTAAGGCTTCAGTGTGTTGACAATGCAGAACTTTCACCAGAGACCTGTGGTCCCCCTTCCATTCCCCATGGAAAAGCCAAAGGCAAGTGGGCTGAAGCCTCAGGTTTGCACAACTAGTAATGAAACAGGATCCATTATATCGCAACAGCGCTGCCTCTCCCCTTACACAGAATGGTTTGGGTTGGAAGGGACCTTGAAGATCATCTAGTTCCAATCCCCTTGCGTTGAGCAGGGACCAGGTTGCTCAGAGCCCCATCCAGCATGGCCCTGAACACCTCCAGGGAAGGGGCATCCACAACTTCTATGGAAAACTTGTTCCAGTGTCTCACCACCCTCATAAAGACCCAGGCTTGGCAGAGCAGAGCATATTCAACACATGCTCACACAGCACAGCTGTGGCCAGAGCCAAGGCAAGTCTGGCTGTAAGCACCAGTAGTGTCATCCCACAAACACAACACTCTCCTTTGCTCCACACAGAAAGAAGCAACATGTTTCCATGTTCCTGGAGTAAAAATGCTAGTTTGGTCAGCACTTAGGACAGTTCAAGTGTCACTCCAAGTATACTTGCACTGGAAGATTGTTTTGGCTTAAGATTAGACAGTAATTCTCTGCTGCCTCTTAGAAAAGGTAACCTGTTACAAGCAGGGAGACCATTACATTCTGTAATTGCTCTGGCTGAATCCCCTGATGTCCCACTTGAGAATTAACAGCACCTAGCCTGAAGGAAGGGTGCTACTAAACTTACAGTGCTCCCCAAGATTCCCCTTTGTGTCCCTGGGTTTTGTCTTTCTGTCTTCCATCCATCCTCCTAATGCAAGAGATCTGGTAAAGTGACTTGCTAAACCGAGATATGGTAACATGACTTGCTAAATCAGCATGACTGTATTGTTACGCTAAATCAAAATTAACTATATAAAATACACTGATGGAGAGGGAATATTTAAAAATCAAGTGTTGGGGGTTTTTTCATAGCATTACAGCAATGCAAAGAATTTGCCACCTATGCAGATGTGCAATATATTGCAAGTGTTTTCTTCATGTTGTGACAGAATTTATTTATTTTTTCTCAAAAGCTTAAGGAGTCACACCTTCAGGATCCTAATGTTGAATTGATATCAGTGAGTCATCACCCATACTGTGAGTCACTATCAAGAGGGAGGACTATCTGAAACATTAAATGCTTGGGAAGACATCTAGCAGAAGGTAACACAGCCACAAAGTAACCATCCTGTAATTTCTTTACAAGGGGTGAAAATCTGGAAGGGGCTCACACAGTGAGTCAGTATTCGCACTGAAGTTAAGCTGAAAGTCACAAATGTAAAGTCTGCTGCAAATACAAGCTGTCTCAATTAAGGGCTCCTGCCTCAAAAGCACTTATCCTCCAGAGGCCATAAATGCTGTCTATGTTGTCCTAAGCACACAGAATACCTACTGCAAAAAGGTCCTAGTAAGATGCCTGTGAAGGATCTGTTCTATTTCTCCACCTCAATTGCACAGAAAAGCACAAGGCAGACCCTGGTGTTCTAAAAAGAGCAAAGAGACAAGGTGAAAGATGTTCTGGTCCAAGTCTTGCCTGAAGCCTGGAAAAATGAGACCAATGAGAGGGGACTGGAACATGCCCACCCTCTCCCCACACTGTGGGTCTGCAGCACTTTTTTTCAACAACTGATGCCCAGCCCACTGCTGAAAGAAAGTAGGCCCTTCCCCAGACAGTCTGCAGGCAGGTCATGGTCCTGCTCCAACTGCTCTCTGCATCAGTTTCACCACCAGAAGACCAGAGGGTCATTGCCTTGGAAGATCCTAACACAGGCATGAAGCAGCACCTCTGGTCCTTGCCCAGCCAGGCAGTACCCAGCTGCTGCACTGGGCTTTGCAGATGCTGTTCTGAGGCACACAGTGTGCCCCACACACTGCACACAGCTTCTCAGTCCCTAGAGAAAAGGTCCTGCTTTGGGAGCTCCAGCCTCTAAGCATCATTATGACACGGATTACCAGAGCAGCCCCAAATCCCTCCCAGGGAAAAGCCACAAGCTCCCCTGCATGTTGGGTGGTGATCAGGGACATAGTTTAAGCACTGGACTTGGTAGAGTCAGGTTATGGTT